CCAGTTTCTCCACATCCTTTTTGAATTGAAGTGGCCAGGAGTCTTTTTCGTTAAGCAGCAAGGTGGTGGTGGGAAGGTCCGCAACCTAGTTAAAAGGCAAATTGCTGTTCTTGGAAGATTCCAGGACTGGCAATTTACTTTTATCCCTTTTGGCTAAAAAAAGGAGGTAATCTGGCCAGCGTGGGGCTGAGATCCACAGAAATAGCCCAGGGCAGTATTTTCCCATTCCTGCTATATTGTGAGTACCTGATGTTCCAGACAAATATGTATACCTAGAAATACTTTAGTATGCTGGGTGAGACCCAAACTTCCTTTCACTGCAATCATGACCCCCTCCAAGAATTGAGGGAGGGATAGTCCTAGGCATTTTGCTTAGAAGCAAATCCCACTTTGATCAGTGGGGCTTACTCTCCAGTTATTTTGCATAGGTTTGCAGGTGCAATGGATTTAACTATCTGAGAGCCAGCGTAGTGTAGTGGTTTAAGCCTAGGACTACAACTCTGGAGACCAGGGTTCAAATCTCTGCTTGGCCATGGAATCCCACTGGCCAAGTCACACTTGGTCAGCCACAGAAAATGGCAAGGGCAAACACTTCTTTGAACAAATCTTGTCAAGTAAACGCCATGATAGGGTCATCATATTAATATTATTTTAGGGGTGGGTTTGGGGGTTTTAGACTGTATTTTAGGTTGATTTATTTTGTATGGATTTTTTATCTGATGTAAGCTGCCCCAATTGGTTGACAGAGGGGTGGGGTATTAATAAATTTATTATTATTATTATTATTATTATTATTATTATTATTATTATTATTACTACAACAACTTAGAAATGACTTTAAGGCACACAACAACAACAAACTATTTGTCCTTTTCAAGAAGAGGGATACAGAACTGGAGGATTAGTGTTTTTATTCCAGTGTACTATTTAATTGCACTTGGACAATGAATGGGGTAGGTTGGGTAACATATACTAGATATGTAACAGTCTCCACCTTTGGTAACCCCTTGGCTCTATCTCCTGGTAATCCCACCCTTTGTCCCTAACTGGAACCAGCTACCACTGCTGTTTAGAAAAGGACATGCCATATCACCAGCACCTGAAACAGAGGTTGAAAAGTAATAGGAAACCAGTAAACAACACTGGTATGTGTATCTTTTTATGTGTATCTTTTTAAAAAGCACAGCAGGGATACCTTTGGGCTCCAGGTATAAATTCTACCTTGCAAATTAATTCTACTCTGGTTTGACACTGTCTTGACACAGGAGTTAACAGAAATGTTTGCCGGGAGGGGGAGCTCTATTATTGGGGTACACTGGTCTACTTTTCTAATTTACTCTGAGTATAGTATCTGACAAAAGCTTTGGATTCCATTTCTTTTTCTGTCATTAACCCAGTATCTCAGCTGTGCATTTTAGATTTCTCTTTTGCTTTCTCCTGCAAAGTTTTCTGATACCCCAAACGCAGACTTTTTAAAACTGGTTTAAACCAATCATATTTTCCTTCTTAGATTTACTGTGCCCTAACGACAGAAATTGATCACAGAATCATAGAATTGGAAGAGACCACAAGGGCCATCCAGTCCAACCCCCATTCTGCCATGCAGGAACTCACAATCAAAGCATCTCCAACAAATACTGTTGCAAAGTGTTGTAAGCTTCTATACAGGCAGTTTTCAGCTCCCTCTTCAGGCTGCAATATGTATGCATCCTGAACTGTCCCCTGGCAATTCTGCGGCTCTCTTGATCAACAATATCATGTGTGTCTGGATCCTGGCCAGTGTTTCTGCTTTTAAAAATACAACTTTTTCAAAGCAACAACAAAGTCGACAACAGAGTTTATGATCCATATCCAACATTTTCATTTAAATTCACTGAAATTCAAGACACCGGGCCTCTCTTTGTATTTAACTGGAAAACATTATATATTTTAAACATATTGGTATCTTGATAGATAAATAGATAGATAGATAGAAAATACCAAATATAAATATCTTGATTATGAAATGAATGCAAAGGTGTCTTCTATATTTCACATAATATTGTCATTTCCATTTCTGCCCCGTATAGTACTAATTCTGATACTACTATCACCGATTATTATTATTGCTTTAGTTCAGAATAACATTGTTTTCTTTTCACTTCTATTTTATCTCAAATAAAAAGCACTAAGATGAGATATATTTTATTTTCTTGTGGCACTGGAGTAGGTATAAGTCACTGGTCTCAAAAGAAAACAAACTCAAAAAATTGAAAATTGTTAAATATTTTTACTGATAAAATATAAATGCCTATGCAAGCTGTTTGCAATAAACTACAATAAATATTCAGTCACTTTTCCCCTGCAGAAGACTCTCAAGTTCAATTTTCATTTTGAAAAATGTCATATGAAGTTAACATTAACACTAAAAATTAATGAACAGAACTTAAATTTGTAAAACTACTGCTATAGGTTCCATTACTGAACTATCACATAAACTCCACAATCTGTATTTTATTGTTACTTTAATATAATATATATACACATACACATGCATAAAGTCAATAAAGTTTCAGATGACTTATATGAAAGATTCAATCTTTAGTTGGAAATTCTGGTTTCTAATCAATAATGCAAGAATGCCTGTTATGACCAAAAAAATCACATTGCTTACCTGTTCATCATAGGAAAAAGCAGTTATCTTTGCCAAAATAACTTTCCCCAAATTCATCTTTACTTTAAATGAAAGATCATTTCCTATATACAGTAGCTTCTTGATCACCAAAATACACCATCCAGTACTGTGCACTCCCTGTACAAAATGCCTATAAAAAGTTTAAAGGCAATTCTCATGTTCTATTTTACTCCTTTATGTTACCAATAGCAACCATCCACTGCAGAAATCCAGTTCATCATGGATCAGACTGTACCTCAGTTATCTCACATAAAAGGGTTAGTTCAGGGAAACAAAGCTGTGGTACTTAACAAATCCACTTTGTAACAAGTTACTTAAAATATTTTATTCAACTTTCAATTGTTGTGTGCAAAAATATTACAATTAGGACTATGTTTTTGCCATTACTCTGCAGGATCGCAAAAATGCATGGAATATGGCAAAAGGTATAGATTCAGCTAGTGAGCATCTTATATTTCATATTTAAAAGCAGGTCATGCTCACTGAACCTCAGAAGCTGGGGTTACTGAATAAATCAGGCTACACACACAAAAAAAATGGATGTTTTCTTTTAAAAATAAGTTATAATAACAAAGCAATTATGTGTATATCAACTCAAAAGAAAGATTTACTGAGTATTAGTCTGTTTCTGCACTGGAGAAATAATGCGGCGTGACACTGCTTTAACTGCTATGGCTCAATGTTATGGAATTCTGGGAATATTAGTTTTGTGAGATATTTAATCTTCTCTGTCAGAGAGCTTTGATGCCACAACAAACTACAAATCCCAGGATTCCCTAGCATTGAGCCTTGGTAGTTAAAATGGTATTAAACTGCATTATTTTTGCAGTGCAGATGCAGCTCTAGAGGCTTTGCTTCCAATTAAGTATGTAAACGTTAGGTTTTAAGCGTCTCTTAAAAAACAACTTGGCTTAAAAGTAAACCTGTCCCACTTTCACCCAACAAAATTGATTATGTGGTGTCAAACATCAAAAATGTAAAACTTCTGTGTTGAAACAGCCGTGGTTCTTCCACGTCATCTCCTTGTAGAAGGTTTACAGCAAACATGGGAGCCCAGGTGACCAAAATAGCAAATTCTAGGTGATCTAGCTAGACACAGTTTGACAAGTATATAAGGTAAAGAACCTTCAATCTTCTACAAAGAAATAGTGTGGAAGAACCATGGCTGTTTCAACACAGAACCGAAGTTTTAAATGTTTTATGTTTGATTTCACAGTGAGATGAACACTGATTCAGGCCCCTTAAGAATAGGACTTCTCAGTCTAGGCACATAAATGTTTTCTTCATATCACAAAAGGAATTGTGATGTTTTCCACAATACTGATACATAGCAACCTGTTGAAGCAGCATATAAATATCTAAATTTCAAAAGCTTGCATTATGTGTTCTGTGCATTTTGATTGGACGATAAATGTACTGCTCTTTTGTGGATTTTGGATTTTGTTTATTTTGCTATATGGCCAACTTGGCTACCCCTGCATATTATTCCTAGATTTGAAAAGAATTGGATTTAGTTGCATCAAGGGAATTCTAAAAGAGTGAAGTGGCAGCTAAAAAGGCCAACGTGATTTTAGGCTGCATTAATAGTAGTACCTAGATCAAGGGCAGTAATAGTGCCACTGTATTCTGCTTTGGTCAGGCCTCACCTGGAAAACTGTGTCCAGTTCTGGGCACCACAATTCAAAAAGGATGTTGAAAAACTGGAGCGTGTCCAAAGGAGGGCAACCAAAATGATGAGGGGTCTGGAAACCATGCCTTATGAGGAAACACTTAGGGAGCTAGGTAAGTTTATCCTGGAGAAGAGACAGTTAAGGGGTCATATGATAACATTATCACATTGAGGATGGAGCAAGCTTGTTTTCTGTTGCTCCAGAGACTAGAGCACGGAACAATGGGTGCAAGCTCCAGGAAAAGAGATTCCACCTCAACATTAGGGGAACTTCCTGACAGTGAGAGCTGTTCGACAGTGGAACACACTCCCTTGGAGTGTGGTGAAGTCTCCTTCCTTGGAGGTCTTTAAGCAGAGGCTGGATGGCCATCTGTCAGGGATGCTTTGATTTTGAGTTCCTGCATGACAGGAGGTTGGACTGGATGGCCCTTGTGGTCTCTTCCAACTCTATTATTCTATGAATGGGAATTAAGGACTGGGACTTAGCTCTTTTGGGTTTCTACCACCAACAAAAGTAAAACTTTTTATTTTGGACTATAATTGACTGAGTTTTATCTATACTGCATCCAAAGGTTTTCCAGATGTAGATTACAGACACTTCCTGAGAAAGGAAGGGGCCTGTGACTTCACAAAAGACTTTGGACCAAAACATACTGCAGAAATAATCCCGTCTGAGATGACTTTAACTGCCCTGGCTCAGTACTGGGGAATCCTGAGAATTGTAGTTTATTGTGGCACCAAAAAAGCAAAAGCAGCTTCATTTATATACCGCTTCATATGGGATGTCTAAGCGGTTTACAACTGTAAGCTCATTGCCCCCCAATAGTTGGGTACTCATTTTAGCAAGCTTGGAAGGATGCAGGCCTGAGTCTAACCTGAGCCCTGGCTAGTACTGAACTCACAACCTTGTGGTCTATGAGTGAGTGGCTGCAGTACAGGCATTTAACCACTGCGCCACCAGATCTCTCTCATAGAACTTTATCACACGGGGGCCAGTTTCGTCTTTAAAAAGATAATAAA